CTGCACAAGCCACCAGCATTACTTCTGTGTAGCTGCTAAATCATACAGCTGAAATGGGTTTCTGATTATTTAGCAAACTGTCCTCCAGGACTCATGAATTTCAAAAAGCCAACATAGACATGCCTCATCTATTCAAATCTCAGTCCCCATCCCTTAAGAAAAATAACTGGGAGAAATATTCCACAGATTTATTTATTTATTGGGACTTATCCCAAGGGATGTAAAAGTTTTCATTAATAGGCTTTTGTTTCCTACAATAAAACTAGTTTCTATAATTCATTTTACTAAGCTCTTCTTTTCCCCAGACCAAAAGCAAAAGCATCTGTTTTCTCCAGCAAAGTGAAATATCAAGAAGCCAAGGTAAAATGCTAAATCTAGAAATGGCAAAGCAAATCCACTGCCCACTCAGACTGTTCAGTTTCCTCCACACTCGGGACACTTGATTTGCAACTTTGGCAAACTCACTTGCAGATTTTTCATAACAAAAAGAGTTTCCTTTAGAAGGTGATGAGTGTGGGAGTCCCAGGGGAGGGGCAGCTCTGCTGGCTTGAGTTCTCTTTTGTCAGTAGGAAGTTTCTTTTGTCCTCTCATGGCTGCAGAGAGCAGGACCACAGTTTGAAACAACTCCTGGCATTTCTGAGGCTTCAGTTTCACCCTGAAAGGTGCAGCCTGGCAGGACTCCCTGAGGAATGCATCAGCTGCCCAAGGTGGTACCACGCTCCAGGCAGTGTGACAGCCTCCACATGGCTCTCAAACACAGCAAGTACATTTTGCAAAGCCTGATGCCAATGCTCTCTACTGCTGTAGTGGGTTTGGACCCAGTATTTCCCCCTCTCCACTGAATTCCCTTCCACTGACTGATATCAGATTCAAGATCCAGTATCAGAAATCAATGCTGCAGGAATGCTATTATAGTATCAGAGTATTGAGAAAATAAGAACCTTGAAAACGAAGTTATGGCTCACACAGCTCTTTCTCTCTGTCAGAAATACTGACAAAACCAAGATTTGACTGTTACTGTTGTTGATGCATTCCTGTAGTGGCTGGAACAGCCTCTTTCCTCCTCACTGCTGGAGAGGAGTCTGCAATGCTCAGTGTCACACGCTGACAATACTGCATGGATCAATGGTGAAGAGAAGGAAAACTCTTTGTTGGTTCAGCCAAACCACTCTTAGTTCCCAGCATAATTGCCTCTGAGACTCCTTATGTATTTGCACAGAACTGTCATGGAATAAATGCAACAGACACTGTTCAAATTCATTTTCATCCTCTTTTCCCTGCAGGATTTTTATTTTTTTAATTCCATATGACTATATCCACTAGAACCACTTGTTCACTTTTTCATCCATAGCTGACCATTTTATTATTTAGTCTTAGTCAACAGTATTCAGCACAGGAACAGGTACCTGCTTCAGATCCACCACATCAATCCATCCATTTTCCCTGGGCCCTTATAAAGTTACCACAGGCTGTAGCTGCACCAGCTTAAAGGCAAGATAAGTCATTCACTGGAGAGCAGCTTCCTACAAATGATTTATTGCACTAGTGTCATTTTTGAACAGAATGGCCCAGACTGCATTTATTTTGCCATGATTACAGGAAACATGTCAAGGTACTCACATTTTTTAAAAGCTTAGAACATCTGACAGAAAAGTGCTCTGGGTTTGACATCGAGGAATCAAGAATGCACCAAAAAGAGAGAAATTTCACTTCTGTAACAGTCCAATATTTTGACTGAAGAGACTGTGCACACATATTTCTTTGTGTCTTGACCTGAGTCTGCAGTTTTGAGGTAAAGAGAAATACAAACCAATTGCTTTATTTGATTTTTTCTGAAACTGCAGTGCTGTTGGGAGGAGGGCTTATTCTTAGCAAATCTGAAATTTTGACAGTTATGTTGAATCTGCAACTTTTCATTCTTTGTCATTGAACTTATCCTACTACGCAGCCTAAAGACAAACTTCAAAATTCTTCTTCATCTAGAGAACAAAGCTGAGCTGCAAGCAATTCCCTGCTGGTCCCAAGTTTTCTACTGTCTTTCATTAAATGTTTGTGATTTTCTTTCTGTCCTGCCATAGTTGTTGCAGTCTTTTTCTGTTCAATATTTTATTTTCCATGCTAGCTTTTAGCCAGTCTGTTCTCTTTACTTTTGTATTTTTACATATTCAATAATGCATACAGGCATATTTATACATGCAGCATAATTACATTTTGGTTGATTATACATGCCAACTTCTTTTCTAATTATCACAGACACCAGACTGTAATTCCTTGTTTCACTCAGGCCTGTGAGACACAGAGCAGCACTTAGAGACACAAAGTTCTCAGCTTCCATCATTCTTGACAGCAGCTGCTTGGCATCTGATGAGAGAAGCTGAGACACAGAAATGTGCTGCAGTTTGTCCAAAGGGTGACAGAGATGGAAACAGAATCAGCATCTCCTGGTTCTTAGTCCAGTTTCCCAGCCCCAAGGGTACACTGGTAAGCAGGTTTTGGTATGCCCATAATAAATAAACCCCTAGAGTGAAATCCTTAATGTAATTTTAATAACTATATACAGTCATTAATAAATTATCAAAGAGTTAAATAGCAGTTATTTTTTACCTTATCATCAGGTTAATAACCCATTGCTTACTTTGATAGTTTGAAATATGCATAGTGAATCTAGATACAGAAAAAGTGTCTGAAAAGAGAATGTAGTGAAGCATTGCTAAAACAATATATTTCTTTAAGACTTCCAAATCCTCAATAGTAGACCTGGGAGTAGGACCAGGATAAAAGAAAATAATGGAAATAAATCAGTATTATTAACCACCTCTGTAGAGAGTGAAGATGGCCAGAGGTATCCTTTGAACTCAGCATGGGCTTCATTTCTCTCCTTTTTCCACTGTCCTCCTTACATGCATTCTGCCTTTGTGCCAGTTGGAGTGGTTCTCAAAAAAAAATTAAATTGGTGGTTTTTTGCTTTATGTTGAGAGAATTCTTATTTTCCTTTGAAATTGAGCAGTGCAGTAAATGCCTTCTTTTTCAGCATTTTACAAACAAAGGAAATAGACAATTCCAGGAAGAAAGCACTTATATGTCTTAGCCCAATGCAATGATTCCTCAGATCTCTATGGACCCTAAGTTTTTCTCACTGCACTGTTCAGCAGTTTGCAAGGTTTGCCACCCACACTTTGCAACATGAGTTTCCAAGCACTGCAGTCTTTTCTCTTGATGCCTACAAGTCATTATTCTTGTACCAGTAGCTCAGATCCTGAGATGTTTCAAGTCTCAAGTTGAAGTCTATTGCTCTCCTGGTAGTCTCTTGGATCTTTTTTGAAGATCTTGTCAAAAAAACCGCAAACCAACAAGCAAACAAAAATCACCCCAAACCAGCTAACAACCAACATCATCACATGCGCTCCTTCCATGATGCCAAAGCTGTTTGAAGAGCTACACTCTCCATTCAGCTGTGCAAAAATTACAATTTTCTTAAAGTGCTTACAGTGAAAATCCATTGTCTTGATGCTTTGTCAACATTAATTTAAGCAACTTGTTTTAAAGCTGTTTCACTGCTATTTTAACTGGAGACAATGGACAAATATCTCTTAAGGAAAGGAATCTTCCTCAGCTCGTTTGTCATGAACATTGGTGAAGATAATTAATTGGCTTTTCATCTGGGGACTCATATTTTCTGTGCTGTCCTCTAATAATTCACTCATACACTGACCTATAGATTCAATGGTATCCATTGAATTTCTCCTGCACTTAGAAAACTGCACCAAAAATTCTTTTGGCAATTTGTTCCTCTAATTTCTTGTTTTCAGTCTGCCTTGCAGCTTTTCATTTAATGTGTCTGCCCTTTTACACAGTGTTCCCTTTTTTTTTTTTTTTTTGCTTTAATAGCCTCCCCTATTCATCTGTTTAATTACAGTATTTTCATGTCCCATCACATTCTCTTCTGAGTGTTCAGTAAACATATTGTTTAAGGCTTTGAAATTGACCCTTTTAATTTGGTTTTTGCATGCTTTTCCACTAATGACTATTTCTTAGGTATTATTTGCAAAGTTGGGATTTTTTGGGGTATAGCATATATACCTTTTATAATTGCTGTACCAAAGAGCTCTTCCATAATGTCTCTGGTGCCAAGTCTTGGTGCCTTTTTGAGGAATACTATTTCCCATTTTGAGAAAAAAAAAAAAAAATAGAGAAAAAAATCCTTCAAAAAAGTAGCTGTTCCTGTTTCAAAAAGAAAAAAGTTTTCCACCGCATAGCATAGCTTCCCCATGAATCTTTACATCTTTTCTGAAAGTTACATCTTTACAGTGTTTGGAAGAAAATACTGAAGATGACAGGAATCACAGTAAAATCACAGAGATTGCTGTTGAGCAGAAATGCTGAGAAGCTCTTTGAAAACACAGTTGGTGGGGACTGCAGGTGATTCTAGGACTGTTGCTGTTCTCCAGAAAATTATGTAAAAAGAGGAGAACTTTGCTGTCCTGGAGCATAGGATTTTGTTCCTGATGTTCCTCGACACCAGTCATGAGGTTTGGATAACATGAAGTAATAACAAGAGGAATACTGAAAATACTTTCATCTCATGCTTTTTTTCTCCTTTACTGATGAAGGTTACTGATCATTTTTTAGGACAACAGAGGGGAGCAGCTGTTGTGTGCCCAGTCAGCAGCTTCCATCACCCTCCAGCTAGCTGGAGGTTTTACCAAGCTGCAGCCTGAGCAGAGGTGCTAAAGCCAGCACAATTCTCTGCTGGCTCTTTATGGCAGGCATTAAGGGCAGCAGGATTTGTCCAAGACCTAATTGCACGTATTTAGGGGTAAGCACTCATCAGTGTTTAGAGGAAATGGCAGCTGTAAAGCTCAAGCATTGAATACAGGTGAAATGATGCAGGAATGTTTTGCACCGGGAGGATGTGGCTATCCACAGGGCAGGCAGCAGCTGTCCTTCCAGTACAGCTACCTGCACATGACAGCTCTGTCCATGTTTTTAACCTCTGGCAGGTTAAGAAGACAGCAGGATCAAAGTGGGCAGACTTCCAGCATTGGCAGCAGAGCGTCTCTCCAGAGCCACGAGAAGCTCCAAGACGGGAGGAACAACAATTTGCTGGGACAGGGCTGCACCAGGGGCTGCAGCAGTTAGTGAGCCCACCCTGCTCCCACACAGGCAGGGAGGGTGGATCCTCCCTGCACCCCTTCCTCTGCATCCCTGCATCCATCCTGGCCCACCCAAAACAGCATCCCTGGCCAAGGACAAACCTGCACAACACACAGGCTGAGGTTCTCCACCTACAACTCTGCTCTTGACTCTGCCACTGGAAAAATGACCATCAGCAGCAAAATACAGTTTTTTAAGTAAGTGTGACTTTTGTTTTCAAAATCCTGGAAGAAAACTTGAAACAATTCATTAGGCAGCCTCTCAAAGATTGCCACATTCCTGGATATTTGCAAGAGACAACTGGAGCCAGCTTTATCTTGAAGGCTTTAATATTACCCCAATCTCTCTGTTAAGTAAAATGGTCCAGTTTGAAATTTTGTGAAACTGCTGGACACAGCTGTCTCTAAGCATCTGCCGTTGAGTTTATAACAGATGTACATGATGTAAATACATTAATGTAGTGTCAAATAGGCCAAACACTGAATAATTTCATTTAAATACCTGAAACTCATTGAGAAAGTTGCAGTGTAAGTGTATTCACATTGTTCTTTGACATCCTGTGTTCTGCTTTGTAATAAAAGGTGTGACCCTGGCCAAATCAAAGTTTTGCTAGCAACTTTAGTGGATGCAGGATCAGAAACACCTTTTTATTTGTAACAATAGGCTGACAGAGCCAGAGCTGAAAAGCAGCTTAGTAAGGAGAGCTAAAAACATTAAGAATTTGCTCAGATCCATAGCTAGGTGTTATAAAATGTTAAAAAGTTACATGTGTCTCTGTTTTCATTGATCTATTCTGGATGAAACTGTCTTGAATAGAAAGAAACCTACTTTAGTCAAAATATTGCTGACATGAAATCCTTTTATTTTAAACAGCACCCAAAATTCCAAACATTTATGTTATTTTACAACTTGTACATCCACATTTTGATAATAAATGCATGTTTATTCTGTCCCATTGTGCTTTTGTTTTGAAAGGTCACCACCTGTAAGCAAATTTCATTTCAACTTTTTAAAACAATTAGGTTAGGTTTTTGGAAGTGAGAAACATTTTATTTGAAATAATCTATTTTTACAGCATCATTTCCATTCTTTTAAAAAGAAAAGTTCTTTGTAATTGAATCTATTGTAAATTTTGGTTTATGTTATATGTAATTTTGGTCACAACTTTTTCACAAATACAGATTTTTATCACTCCATGAAATGATACAGTGTTCCACATCATCAACAACAAACAGTTTACAAATGTACAAAGGTAAAGATTTTATGTCTGTCACAAGTATGGTGTTGATCTTCTTTCTTAATTTGGTCACAGACTGAAATAATCATACAATCAAACAAAGGAGCAAAATTTTTCTGGTCATAAGAGGATAAATTTCATCACCCAGAATAAACTATTTCCCATCCATCCTTTCTTTATTTTATTTTTTTTTACTTGATATTCATTTCCCTTGGGAAGGACCAAACTAGCTAAGATTTCAGATTATTTCTGGAAACACCTATTGTTCTGTTCCAATCAAAATGCATGGTGATCTTGGACCTTGATCTGGATCTGAAAGAAAATCTTTATTTTGAGCAAGAAGAGCTGCTCTGGGTGATTTTATACATCAACCACATATCATGCCATAGTGCTAGCACCTTAACTGAGGCTGGGAAGGCATTTTTGAAGTAAATGCCCTAACCTTACAGCCTTACTGCATTTTGGTACATATTTTAGCACCCAAATCAGATGCTTTTTGGATGATACAACACCAGAAGATGTGTTCCATGAGAGCACTTATTGCCATCTTTCCAGTGTTGAGCCTGTAGACCACTGGAACAGGTGAGGGAAAATCTGAGATGGAACTTCCCCTGATGTTTCTCATGTGGATGTCAGGTCAGCAGAGCCTCTCCTGTCCAGCTGCACTGTCAGCCAATGAACACATAGCCCCCAAGAAGCCTGGATTTATAGGATGGGAAGTGGTGAAATGAAGGAGCTACATAGTGCAAGATCATCAGTGACTGCATTAAAAATCAGAGGAGTTCACTGCAATTTAATTAGCAGCACGATTCTACCAAATATTTGCAGCCTGATCTGTCTCTTGCTGGGTGTATTTGCCAGTGCTTTACTGAGCTGGTTTTGAGAGGAGATTGGCTATTCAATAGATTGCATCTACTTAAATATATTTGCACAGAGCATTGTGCATGAATGCAAGCTCACTCAGACACTTTAATTTCACGCTTGTTGCCACACAATCATTTCCCAAACTGTACTGCTTGCAAAAAAATGAAATCATAGCACCAATCAGCTTTATCCATAGTCCATGGCACTTCCACCGACTGAAGCTCTACCTTATGCTGCATATAATTATCTGTGTCAACTTATTACACAGATCAGTGAATTCTCTCAGTTATACCATGGAGACCCAATATTGAATCAAAGAATTGGGGAATGGTTGGGGTTGGAAGAGACATTTAAAGGTCGCCCAGTCCAGCTCCCCTGCCATGAGCAGGGACACCTTCACCTAGATCAGGTGCTCAGAGCCCCATCCAATATGGCCCTGATGCTTCTAGGGATGCGCCCCCATTTCTCTGGAACACCCACACTCTAATTTTATCTTTCCTTTCAACCAACCTAGCTGTAAGGATCTGTCTTGCCATGGGAAGCTCTGATAATGGTGTAGAAGATAACTGAGAGGTTATTTTTAATAGAATATGATTTGTGGGGACAGAACACATGCAACAAGGAAAGTCACAAAGCCCGGGAACATGCCGGAGATAAATGCTTGGTTTAGACTTGTTTCTCCTACTTTAGACAAAGGAAAAATGAATTATCCAGATCCAGGCTCAAAAGTAGAGATGAAAAAGGGAAAAAAAGCTTTTAGGATGTGATGCACTTTCCCTGTCTTGATTGTCTGTTTTAGCAGATGGTTCTCCCTGTAGCTCTGCCTCCATGGAGTAAACATCAGTGCACACAGCTCACATGTGGACATGCACATTGTGCACTGACATTTAGTCAGATGAATCTGGTTTGTGATGACAGAGGCAATTTGTCAAGCTGCAGTCTAATCCTTATGAAAAAATGGGATAATTTCTGATCTATTCAATGGGAGTAAGAGACATTAAACAGTTTTCATCTTTAAGTGCAGAAGTGGTATTAGAGTGACTAGAAAATACACAAACATACTCTCCTCTGGTGTTCCACCAGAAATGTAAACAGGGAAGTCCTAAATAAGACATAGAAGATTTTTACAATAAACTCAGCAAGATGGAGGACAAAAGGAAAGCAGGGCAGGCATAAATCCAGAAGAAACTCTTTGGGACTCATTTATTCTATACAGCTTTCTTGCCTTGCAAAAGTGGACAGTGATCTTGACTCCCAAAATCTCACCTGGTTTCTCTAAGTCATTTAAAAGATAAAAATATTTTTCTCCTTTCTGCTCCAGGGAAGAGATAAAGAAGTCTAACACAGCTGGAAAAGCAGTTTGCTGCTGCCATAGTTTATTGCAGTGCCTCTTGCTCTGTGGTGTTGCAGTTCTGATCCCACATGCACATTCCCACAGCATCACTCCACGTTTAAACTCTGCCAGATTTACCTTCTGTTCCATTTGCTCCTTCTATCTTGTGTATTAAATATTGGCACAGTACTGTAAATGTTTAATTACCAACTGTCATAAAGTACAAATGGCTCCTTTCATCTGTAGTCTTGACAAAAATGATTAATGTAATATTTCCAGAAGATTTTCCTGTAAATCTGGGGGAATAGGAGGGTTAGTTGTAGGTCTTGGCACATTATTTAAAATGACAGCTAAGTACATTATAGAGGAAATAATAGGCACTGATCCATCCTTTCCAGTCATTGAGATGTTTTCTGCTTGTAGGAACATGTGATTACAATTTCAAACTTATTTCTGACTGTTCAAACTAAAGCTAAATAATGCTGTAATGGGGTGTACTGGGAAGCTGAAGTAGGCTGAATTAGACCCAAAGCATTCTTCTGTTTTCCACATGGATAGATGTGCCAATACTTCTGCTACTAAAAACGTGGATGCAGCACAGGAGAAGCTTAGAGGTTTTGCACAGGAACATTTACAGTTTTGGTGGGAGCTGGAAAGCAAGGATATACTGAAAGTGCATTAATAAAAAAAACTACAGATTTAATAGTCTGTCTCTGGTAGCTTCACTGCTCTAGCACTGGCCCCAAGAGGAGACCTGGAACAAACAACTGCCCTGCAAGTGATCTCCATTATTTCCTTATTTGACCCAGATTTCATCCATGAAGAAGTGAGTCCATCTATGCAGACTCTAAATAAGAAGCAAAGGAAGGAAAAACTCCCCTGTCAGCAATGTTGGGCTGCTCAGATTCTCCGTTCCAGTGCAGCAAAAGGGACAAACAACAATTTGTACCACTTGCTGCAGTTGCTATCAGTCCTGCTGGGGACAGCAGGAATTGCTTTTTCTTACACATCCATTGCAGTTCAGTCCCTTAACACATGCTACCAACATGTCAGTGATGAATTTTGAATGAGGGATAATGTAAAGCTTTTAGAGATCCTTCTGCTGCCACACAAGAACTTCCACGATAGACTGATGTGATTTTTAAAGAGGAGCTTTGTGGTTCTTCTCCTGGAGAGCATGCTACCAGCTCAATGACTGATTTCTCATGCACACTGTGCTTCATCATCTCAGCCTTCATCAGAGTAGTTACTTTTGTTTATCTGTATTTTAGTGATTGAATCAGCTATGCTCTGGCCAGCAAGGAAAAATGTTTTGGTATTTTTAACCTTCATTTAGTGATGCAAATGAGCTTCCTATAATCTTGTTTGTGAGAAAACACATGCTACAATCAGGACCTCAATAATGACTGATATTAGCTATGCTCCATACATCAATGAAATTGGATCAGAGCCACAACCTCCCTTTTTTGTCCTTTTTAATTGGAAAGGAGCAATGTATCTAATCAATTAAACAATTTTTTTGCAATATTGCCCAACTGTCCTTGTGAGTCATTCCAAAGAATCAAAATTGTAATATAGGGCAGAGAGCTTTGCTGTTCCATGTTTGTGGGTTTCTTTAAGTCTATTAAAAACAACAAAGCAGGCATAAAAAAACTACTGTAACTTTCTATATCCATTAAAGGAAACACAACTGAGAACAATCATAAAATGCAAGTCCTTCTAAAATGTATGCCAAGAACACACAGTTATGTAAAACCAGTGTCCTTTAAATGGAATTAGATTTAGCCACAGACACTTTCATGGGCAAAACTATGTTGGAACTAGTGCTCTTGAGAATTTTTTGTTTCTTACTATCCATTGTTTTGATGTGCGCTATAATACAGCCCTGGAATTTTCTCACAGGGTAATTTTGTACTTGAAAAATCCCTCTTGGAAGAGTACTATGCAATTTAATTGTGACTTTTCTACACAGAAAAGTCGTGTTTTGTCGTGACTATAATATTCTCCAGCCTCTGTGCAAAGGTATTGAGGCAATTTTGTTGTGTTAATTAGTAATGAGAGAATGCTCTAAGTCTGCTCCAAGTCCTGAGTCCTATAATAATAAATCCACACATTAAGGTAAGTCAGACACTGTCACAGCCATCTTTTATGAAAAATCCTTTCCTTAGGATTTTTCCTCCTGAGAAGCTGAGAGGCCTCAGGAGCAAAATGTAAACCATAATTATCTGCTGCTGCGGAATGCAACAGGTGGATCTGTGATTGGCCCATGTTGGATGTTTGTAATAAATGGCCAATCACAGTGAGCTGGTTCGGACTCTCTGTCCAAGACAGAGCCATTGTTATCATTCTTTCTTTTGCTATTCTTAGCTAGCCTTCTGATGGAATCCTTTCTTCTATTCTTTTAGGATAGTTTTAATATAATATATAGTTTTAATATAATATATAAATATCATAAAATAATAAATCAAGCCTTCTGAAACATGGGGTCAGATCCTCGTCTCTTCCCTCATCCTAAGACTCCTGCAAACACCATCACAAGACACTGCTGCAATGAATTTACAATTGGAACCAGCTTTGTGAGATATACCTTGAAACCAGAGATAAACTAGAAAAAGTGTTCAGGGCAGCAGGCAACAGTGAAATCAGCTTAACAAATTTAACAGGCACTCATATAATGCAGATTTATGGATTATTTTCTACATTTAGTTATGTTCAATATCTCCTTTAAAGTCATAAATTTCCCATTTATATCCAAACCCTCAGGCATTATAATCTTGGAGAGTACAAGGGCTGGCAGAGCCTGCTGCAGCGACACCAGCAGCTGTAACCTGTGCCTCACCTCAGGGCAGCAGGAGCACACCAGGCTCCTTCTGCTGAGCAGATCACTGCATCTGCAGAATCCAGCTGAAGGCAGATGTGGAGAGCTGAAATGAAGTATGTAAACATGATGAGAGCTGC